TGACTTATCCCTCTCTTCTCTACCAGCAGGGTGAAGACAAACCCCCTCTGCAGCAGGAACATGGTGCATGGCTGTGATCCCATCAGATGAGCCTTCAACCCACTCCTGGTGAGGTGGTGAGAACAGGGGCACCAGGGCACAGAGCAGCAGGAAAACCAGCAGGAAAAGTGGAGGAGAAAACCATTAGAAGCACAGAACCTCAACCTCCTACACTGCCTGACACCTCTCAGAGCAAATTTGGTCTGAGAGACTACTCCACAGAGGAAAAACAAGGGAAGCTGAGATTGGGGAAGGGGGAGGATACATGTTTTTACACATTTGTGTGGCCTCATGTTGTTAATAGCATGGTTTCCTACATGCTAACTATACAGATGGTGTAAAGGCTTGCAGGGTAACACTTTGGTAGAGGAGAGGCCTGAATTTGCAAACAGGAAATTTTTGGGGGGCTGTAAGGAAAAAAAAGTATGTTATTCACAAAATTTAGTTATGTTAAAGCTATTTATCAGGTAATGTGGATAAAGTAGGTCATTAAACCCTGCTGGATTATGGACTGATTTTTTTGAGTAGTGCAACCACGTAGGAACGAGGCACTTAGGGCATACATAGCTATGCCCAGCTGCTCAGGATACGATTCACAGATTTTTAAAACTAGAAGCTGGCAATTTAGGAGCCTGGTCATTGTTCTACTGGAGGGTGGAAAAAAATCTGGACATCTGAGCTTTTGGATGTCAAGGATCTCAACAACTGGAAAAAATACCTTTCTGGGGCCTAAGAAACCCTTTTCTTTCAGGTGATATTTGTGTATGGTCTCAAATAACAAGCTAAACATCACACTAACTCATATTAATCCAGAATTTACTATGAGGCCCATTTCTTTATTATCTCAGCCCTGTGTCACTGAGATGTAAGGATTCATTGACAGAAAGAGTAATTGGTTTGTTCAAAATTAAAATCAAAAAGTATTTTAAAATTCCAGCTGTGATAGTCATGAAAAATTAATGCCTGTTGTACTGAAGAGAAAATATCACTGCATACTACCAGATACACAGGTAAGTGATGTCCAAACTACCAGGCTGAGGCAGTCTTTGACACAGCACTTCTTTTGCAAATCACCAAATATGACTGGTGGTAACCAAGGGATATGACTGCTGCTTGTGGTCACAATTTTAGATTAAGTTCAATGAACAAAAGAGGTATTTTGAGTTCTGATTATTGTACCCATTGAGATAACTGTGTTTTATTCATATGTTCTGATGCATCAGTAAATCTCAACACACTATAAAATGGTCTGATATTAATTTGGGATATGAGGCACAGGCGCAGAGATGTATTCAAAGTCTTCCACCAGACAAGTAGCCAAAGCAAGAGCAGAAACCAGGGGCTTCAATCTTAAAAGTTTTCCTATGCCTTCCATTTGTAAGAACATCCTAGTATGTACTTAGAAAGTGCTTAAGAGGAAGTTCATACAAAGAAAATACAAAGAATAGTGGTGTAGTTCATATCTACAGAAGGCACTGGATAATGAATATTAAACTACAGAAATCACTGTGTGGCTTGCTACTTTTTGTTCCCTCCTAAATAACTATTTTAAAAATATTATACATTCCTTCATTTCCCAGGCAAAGAAGCTAAAACTTTAATACTCCAAACCCCATAGTAATTAATTTTTATGTCTCCAAATCCCACCTCTTTGTTAATACCAGTCCAGTCTGAACAGTTACTGGCTTTTTTGCTTGGGTTAGGAAATTCTTATACTCTTATGTGCAGTACAGCAGTTAAATAACCTGTTTCTATTCATACCATGTCCAGTCCCTTAAAGCTGTGTTGCAGAATATTGTTTGTCATTCCACTTGCTGATAACATGCCAACAGCAACTGTAGACCCTGATGTGGGACTCCCTTCACAGCCTTGGCTTCTTTTTTTGTTGTTGTTGGGGTTTTTTTGTGCATGTGTATGCATGTGTATTGGTAGTGGTGGTGGTGTTTCTTGGAGTTTGTTGCTGTTTTTTGGTTTGCTCTGCTTGAAGCTGATGCAGTGGTTTCTAAAACTGTTATACAGAGTTGGCTGCATGTGCTTGGCATAAGAAAGGCCAGGAAGGTCAGACTGTGGGCAATAAAGCAAAAACGGGGATGAGCCTTGCAGCAGAGGCAGTGGCATGGTTAAAATCCTCACTGATAACAAGATATTCCTTAGCAGCAATCTCCCCAATGCAGTGGAAGTCTCTGCCCTCTGCTGGCATTCCCGAGGATCAGCCTTGCTCAGCCGTGGGAGGCTGTGATCAGACCCCGAGAGCCCCCACAAACCCTGCTGAGACCGGCCGTATTTATAGAGCAAATCCTTCAGAACATGGTGTTTCAGGAAGTGCAAGAATAACAGATCTAAATCTCAAGTGACATTTGCTATTGACTTCTGCAATGCCTTTCAGATGTCTGCCTACTTCTCACCTTGTTCAACACTGCAAGGGTTAGTCTGAAGCATCTCCACATGCTATTACAGTCCCCATCTGTTTTCTTCCAGTGAGCCAATACAGGGAAGAAGATAATAAATGTTACTTCTTGTTGTGGTAGTAATTTTCATTCCACTATTAAAAAAAAAAAAACAAAACAAAAACACCAGCAACACACTTGTTTAGCATGTTTCAACAAAATATTTCAAAGTGTAATTTTGGGTTACAGTAGAACTGGACATGCTGAATGACTCCACTATTATTACATTTGGAAACTTTTCTCTTTTCCTTAGAAGCAGGGCATGATTCTAAATGTTGATTTTGTGGCAATTTTTACTAGATAATTGATAGAAAACTGATTTTCTCATGAAAATATAACTAAACAAATTAAACCTGTTGGTAAAATATGTGAATTTCACTTCCCAGTGAACTCTGAAAACACTCTGGACTCAGTCCTGCAATGAACAAAAGGTTCTGCAAAGCAAGGGGCCTGGAACCAGTCAGGGTCTGCAGAACAACAGCCACAGCCCAGACACCCACTTAACACTTGGAATGTCAAAAACAGGCTCTTGCTCATTGTTCAGAGGTCTTTGGCTCTATAACCATACTACTGATAAATATCTGTACAAGCCTCTTTTTTTTGTGCTCTAAAATCTACTTTCTCCAAATCTGTAGGAACAAACCCCCTTCATACAGAGCAGGCCTGTCCCAGCTCATGGCCTTCTGAGAAAGCCATGTTTTGTCTCTGCACCTTTGCATCAGATACCATGTGCAAGAGCAATCCCTGTTTGGGGAGACTGGAACTGTGTGTATGGCCGGACCATGCAATTCCATCATCTTCTCTAAGGTGCATTGGCTCTGCTCTAGAAATGTTTATTTTCAAACAATATTACACCTGTGAAACCCAGAATGCTGAGTGCAAGTGGGTGCAGTGTAAGCAGGACTGATCTGGCATGATTTGGGTTTTATTTTTCACCAGATCCCACCTGACTTCCTTCCTAGTAAACAGTAGCATGCATCTTTGAAGGAAGATTGCATAGAAAAATGCTCTGCTAAACAGGCTCTCTGCATATGAATTGTTTTGTGTGACAACATCTGTACAGTCCCAAGTAAAAAACATGATAAATTCAGCTGCTTAATATAGATAAGAAATTAATAAATATTGCATTCCCTAAATTAAAGGTAAGCTTCTAACTTCTCTAGTACAGTGATGGTAATCATGCCATATAAATGTAAAATATCAGCAATTCAGAAGTTCTCATCAACCCTGGAGTGGAAATTCATCATGTACCTATTTCTGTAATAAGCAGTAAGACACCCCTGCCTGATGGGGGGGAGGGGGGTGTGGACTAAATCTTCAGAGCTCCCTTGCAGCCCAAACCATGCCTTAATTCTGTGACAATCTTCTCAACAGGACTAAAGTCTCCATTAGTAGTGTGGGGGCACTGCAGAGAGCTCACCCATATGGAACACCCCCACACAAAGACACATCTCTGCTCCTCAAGGCAGCACCACCAGATCTCTGGGCCAGCTGAAGGAAAAAAAGTTTGGAGAGATGCAGGATGAAACTAGTCACAAAAAGCCTCTTTAACATCAAACTCCTCAGGTTAAATCTCTCACCTTAGCAGCAATTTGTCAGACACCTGGCTCATTGTCCTACACTCACCTCTACTGTCACTCTCCAAATTCAATATCATTTTTGTATTTTTCTGCTCATATCTGCGAACTGATGAGAGTTAATCCAGAAGTCTTGCATTCACAATTATGCTTTAACACTATTCACTGCTTCAGCTAGCTTGGCAAAGGGAAGCCTTCAAATCCTGTTAGTCTGTAGTATGATAGCTACTCCCTTTTCCAGAGTAATTGAGTAGCACTCTACAGTTTCATTCCCAACCAGTCCCTTGCAGTTTTTGTCTGTACTCTGAGCCTGTACAAAGTGCTGGTGCAGCAGCATCATTGCAAGCTTTTCACTTAAAAGCAGATTTACAAATTGACAGTCCTGGTTTGACAAGACAGAAAAATTCTCCTCTACCTTTGCATCCTGCAAAAGAAAACAAGTAAAGACAGTCATAGCAAAACAGGCAATCACTCTTTGTTAAAATTAACATGGGCACGTATGAGCTTTTCCAGTGGGAAGAGGGGAAAGGTTTCCTGACTCATGGCAGTAAATCCTTCCCCAACACAACCCTTAAGTTAATAAAACCAGGAAAGTGCAGAGGGAGAACATACACACAACTTTCCATATTTAATTGCTTTCAAGATGTTCCCAAAAATCCAACAGAACTGATTTCATGTAAGTCCATGCTCAGAACAGGTAATGCTTGCACTCTTTATCTCTACTCTATTTCCATGTAACATGGCTGGATTTAAGAAAACATTTGCCCCAGTTGAAGGCCTGCCTCTATGCATGGCACAGACTGAAATGTATTTTATGCACCATCAGGATTAAATAAGTAAAAAAATTAAGTCCTTTACCACAACTGAAATGTATATTCAATTAAACCAATTAAAATGTTATCAAGATATTGGGATTACAGTAATGGAGACAGCCCAGTACATAAAACAATATATATATTTATTTGCACAAAAAGTTCCATTTTCAAGTGCATGTATGCTTTTTCTACTACTTTGCGGCACTTTGCTTTTTGAAAAAGTCAAGAACAATCATGACCAAGAGAAAGACATACTATTCATTTGACAGAATGACTTTCATCTTACAACTGTAGGCCTGAGAGCATCTTATGAACTGTAAGGCAAATTAGGAATTCCTTCTGAAGTGAGTAATCTCTATTCAGTTTCATTAACTCAAGTGGAACATTCACAAGAAAAGTGTTACATGACTAGGACATGATACATGACTGTGGTGTTCCCTATGGCTACAGCCAACACAATATGCAGGGGTGGGGTTATATTCTCAGACAGAAAAAGACAGAAAGCTGAAAGATCCACAGTAAGTTGCCAGAAACACTTACTGACAGAAAAAAAAATCCAACCATTATGTATGCAATCACATGACATAGTTAAGCACAATTCCCATTTCAGAGAAAACAGGTAAATTGCCATATAATGCTCAGAATTAGGACATCTACAGACTTTAAAGCCTGCAACCTTCATTTAGAGACAAGCTGGTATTATTTGGCAGACAAATGCTGATAGCTCACAACTGACAGCACAAACATTACTTGAAATCTGGTTCCATTAATGGAATAACTACAAACACTGGATACAGAAGACCATTCAAATTATACTGGTGGACAGATTTTCCACATCTTCTCCTTTGCTGAAATTTCATCACTTCAAGTGACTGAAATCAAAGATGTGCTGCTGAAACTAGTTCAGTCTTCCCACCTGTAGTTATCACCTTGATTAGACTGCCAGAGCTGGGTCTATCCTTTCCTGTTATCCAGTCATAGAAAGTTCTGTTTTAAAATAAATGGATAAAATAGGGTGAGGGAGAACAAAAAATTACAACTACTATCAGGTATATTGACAGGAAGAATAAAATACAAGCCTATTACTTTTCCTTCTTTTCCTACTGCTCTCTCTAGTGGTGTCAATGTGATGTAATCACTGGATTCAGACTCTCAATACTGTACAGAAGGCCCAGAGAAATCTAAGGGGTGTTAGAGCACACAGAATTTCCAAAATATCTCAAAAGAAAAGGCCAGGAGCTTAAAATGTCAGAGTCATTAGGTTTTTTTCTCACTTGAAAAATTTAGAAAAGGAGAAGGAGGAGCTACTTTAGTTGCCTTAATAGCATACAGATAAAAGAAATACAGTTTTATGACTAGAGTTGCTAAACTCTGCCACTGGCCATTATAATATTATGATATATAACTGTGAAAGTGGTCTCAGTGGGAGGGAAAAAAGCCTTAAGACATCCAAACAGTGCTGAGTAAGATGGACACCTTCTAGGTAGCAGACCAGGAGGCTCCTTATCAAAAGACAACATAATCTCCTTCCTCAAAATAGACTAGAGAGAGTGAAGTGTATTTTACAGGTCCTTCAGCCTTTCCAATAGAGCACATAGCAACTGTCATGTTGGAACATCCCACAATCCAACAAGAGCTCCCATGGCACAAAATCCAAGTGCCATATGGGAAAGGATTTCCTGCATTGTTCCCAAGATGCAGATGTTGCCAACAGATGCTGATGTTGCTCAGTGAGATTTTCAGTTTTCCAAGCACTGGGGTTAAACTTTAGGGAATTAGAAACAAAACAAACCAATCAAGTGAATTCTCCTGTAAGGATAAATTATTTAAAAGTTCAACTTAAAAAATGAATTTGCAACACTGCAACATCTAGCTAAGCTGTCCCTGGAGCACAATGAATTAGGGATCTTTTTCTGAACGTTTTCAGGCCAGCTAAATTCAATTGATGAGGCATGTTTTAAAGAGCCTCATCAGACAACTGCAAAGGCCCAAACTAAACAGATACAACTAAAACCATTTCCATCTCTGGCATCCACCTTAAAAATTACAGAAAAGGAAATCTGATGTCAGAACTAAACTACTCTCTGAACAATTAGCAATAGGTAAATGCAATTCCACTGTCAGTTCTAAAAGACTTTTAAAATGTGAGTTCACCCTCAACAGAAACTCTGCTACTCCCCATCACACCACAGAATACTCATGCTGCATCTTCTCTAACCCTGAGGAATGAGAAGAGTAAGGCAGATAATCTCAGCCTGCCATTACATAAACTACAGTTGAAGTTACAGCATTTTGCAGCATCATTCAGGACAAGTTTTTGTGGATAGTAAAAAAATCTGTACTAAATTCTTCTCAACAAGAGCAGAAATGTTGCCAGTTGATAGAACTGAACTAACATGCCATAAAACTGGGCAGTAAAATGTGTTTAGAAGAAAAAGAATCCCACCCAAGTTGAAATGCTTATTTGCAATTTATCTTTAAGCCAGGTGTCTCCTGCACCTGCTGTCTGCAATTTAATTTGTCTACAGGCTTTAGGAAATGCTCCAGCTTCCAGCTGCTTAAGGCTATCTTCCTTGCTGGAATAACTCATGTAGAGAAGCTGAAGTTGATGGAGTTGGGCTAATTTTCTCCAGTTAGGAAGCCTGTGCAATTAAACCCGATGTGATTTAGAAGGATACCCAATAAGATGATGGAGGAAAAAAAATCCACCCAAATCCAAGACAGCTATTTAAACAGAACAGGCACTGAGATGCAGCAGCAAGAGGGACAGGGAGCAACTGTTTAGTTATCCCACAGATACTCACTCTGCAATGAATTCTAAAGGTGTCCAGGAGCTGAAATCTGCATCAGGCATTGATTTCCTGTTTGCTGGTGTATCTAAGGTAACCCTGTGATTAAAAAAGATAAGCAAGCCTTTTATTTATAGATCATGTTTCTGATGAGCACCACCTGCTTCAATTCACTGCTGTAATATGTCCTTGACTTTTACACCAGGTGCTATGGGTTTCCTTTGCATCCTCCCCATGTGTTAACATTCTATAGTCATTAGTTTCAATGTATATCCAAGGCTCCAACTAAGACCCCCCAGCTTCCTGGCTAGCTGAGGAAGTGCCCATTGGAGCCATCACTCAGCTTGCAGCTCCCCTCCCACCTCTCTCATGCAGATGGGGAATGGCAGCAATAAGCCTGTTCACACGTACTGCCCAGCACACCTGCACTACATGCATGCTTTCAAGAGACCAAGTGCATAAATACAGGAAGTTTTGAGTTTGACAGGACATATTTACACTACCTACAATGACATGAAAGGGCTAACTTTCCAAAACTCCCTCACTGAAATGCTGTTGACAATCCAAGGTGTATTTACCCTCTCAAAAATTCAGTTAAGAACAGCATTTTACATGAGAACTACACAAGAGCAGCATGCACAAAAATCCAGTGATCTTGGTGTGTGCCTGCCTATAAAGCTCTCTAGAAGGTGATGTCAGTTATCCAAACACATTTAAAGTCATTCCTGTCTGACCTGAAGAAGTGTCTTAAGAGTGTGTGTGAGGAAACCGAAAGTAGAGAATTCAGATAGTGTATCAAATCTCTGTACAGAACTCTCTAGTCTTACATTTTGGGTCCTGAACTAGATATGGACCTGGCAAGAAAAATACTTTTAATTTTTGCAACAGAATTGATAAAATTAAACACAGTTAAGACCTACTAGGCCATCCACATTTTACTAGCTTTCTTGACAAAATATGAAAGCAGCTAAATGCAAGCTAAATTTTTTTTGGTTTACAGGTAACCTAATTTTATCAGTCAAACATAGGCATGCAGCACCTTAGGAAGAAGATCTTTAAGTGAAAACCTGTCAAGGAATCCTTTGCCTTACTATTATCACAGAGATAAGTCTAAAACTTTGCTGAACAGTTCATCTTGTTTTTACAGTTCTGTCTATCCTGAAATAAATCATATGTTAATGCATGGCTACAGTTAAACTGGTTAAAAGTAAATCAAATTTTAATCCTAACATCCACTACTGTTTTGCAAAGGCAAAGAAAAGAATGTAATCATTTTTAGGGTGACTTGTGTAAGTCTTTGTTCATCCAGTCAAGAAGCATCCTTTCTCTGTGAGGAGGTTTGAAAGGCTGTTTGTGTGCTGTGAATAGGACACAGCAAACATATCTGTGTGGCTCTAGGTTCAGCAGTAATTAAATTAGACAACACAGGCACAGACAACTAAGCAACCACTTACGGTAAAATGGCAACTGCAGCAGAGCCAGATGGCAGCCCACTGCTGGCACCAGCCAGACTCTGACAAAGCTGATGCACTGCTCCTTTGGCCATGCCATAGGCAATCATCCCTAAAAATTAAAAACAGGCAAATCAGAGCACTATCAGAACAGCCCTCAACATCAGCAGTAACATGACAGGAAACTAAAGACTGTTTGATGAATATTAAGGATACTTACCACAGCCAGAAAAGAATCAGACTTTTAAAACATATTAAAGCATACATATTAAAAGAAAAAATGATAATATTAATAAAAAGGCTTTAGTAGACATCCAGAAACTATCACAGAACTCAGTTAACTTAGCACTACAGAAATAAGCAGCTTACCAAGCCAAGCATGTTTAGTCAAAGTATCCAAACGCACCCTTAAGGATGTGATCTACAGGGCTAATTTTACAAATTTAACAGAGTAAGATGGTCATAGACTTTAATAAGGCACTCTTCTATTAATTTTCATCAAATAACTATGGTATTTGTGAGTTTGGACCCAAAGAGATACAGCCCACTTCTCTCTCAAATCTGGAATTCACTTGGTCAGCATTCCAGGTCTGACAGGCCCTGTGGAGAAAGCTACAAAAACCCCAACTCTCATGGTAGAAAATGAATAAATAATGTGCAGGACAAGGAAGCTTTTTCCTAAAAACTGCTGCTTTCTAGGCAAGTCAGCATTTAGCAGTGTAAGAGCAGTATGAACCAGAGCATAAGGCACACTGCTCAGGAACAAGATCTGGACAATGAGAGGTCTCAGATGTCTCAAGGCATGTATCTGTCAAGAAGTCCAGACACAGATAAAGTACCTAAGAAAACAGGTCTACTACAACTGAATGCCTTCCTTCCTAGCCATCTATACAGCTATTCAGCCCCTTTCCAACACTCTAAAGTATTCTGAATATAGCAGAAATACGTCTACAATGTAATTAAACATAGTATATAACATCCGTTTTTCTTAGGAGGAATCATGGACAGCACTAGCTAACTTATTTTATTGTTATGATAAAAATATTCACATGTGTATGACATTCCTCTCCTGTCTTGCCTAAACCAAACATTCTAATTCTTCTTAGAAACCTTTTCATGCCTGATACATTTCTCAAACATCATGCTCACCCTGCTTCTGTCACTGTTCATGTAATTTTCAGTGTTCTTTGGTTTGCACTATGGGAGGCAAGATTTTCTCATAGGAAAAGAAAAATCTCATTAACAGCAAACAAGAAAAAGATTCTTTCTTCCAGAACACCCAGTCATAACAAGGCTAGTAAGGCATATTTGCAAAAGTTGAGTAACAACTCTTGCCCAATTCTTCCTGATGTTAATAAGTTGCATGTGTTTGCCCAAAGCACTTCTGTGACTTTTAGAAAAATCCAGACCAGCTGAAACCAGCTAGTTCAAAACAGAAAGGCTCTTCACTTTGATTCCTGTGTTGTGGTCTCTACCTCCCAAGACCACCCAAACAAAAACCATGAAAATTTGCCAGAATTCACTTTTTTTCATTTGTGTATAGTCAGTCAGCAGTTCACTGTAAAACATTCATCTGCTTATTCTCAAAAATAAACCTTTTATCTTTGACTATAACAGATGCCACTATAAAAACAAAAGATTAATTATTAACTAGAAAATATTTAGAATATTTTTGCCTGAACAGTTTTAGGCAAAGCTTTCAGGAATATTCATTAATTATATATGTTTTAAAATCTTAGTATCTGTGTCTTAAAAATATTGTTCAAATGACACTAATAAAGCCTTGGGAAACATGAGTATTTGCCTCAAACTTTCCTTTTGCTGCCTGTGGGCTTGTGTGTCAGTGCCTACTTCTTTTTTGTTTTTTAATTTTAAATTGCTCCCAGATTTTTTCCTCCAATGTGGAGGAAGAAATCTGGGAGCAACGCAGACCAACGTGGTTGAGGGGTAAGATTAAAAATGCAATAAAGTTCCTATTAAATAGCTAGCTGAGGACAAAGCCAACAGTCAACAAGCTTATCTATATTTGAAGCAAAGATAGACTGGAATCAGAACATGAACAGGACAAGCATGGTTATCAGAATCCGCTGAGTCATCACCAACAGAAAGACTGGTCAATTAAGGACTCTGTCTTTCAGAACACAAATAGGAAATTTAACTTTGTCTAAGCATTGTACTTCTATTGCTGTGTGCTTCTAGTCTTCGCTGTCTTCCAAACATTTTTCTGTATCATATACTAGCCAAGCACATTTCACCAATGCATGTCAAATACTATTTAAATACTGATTCTACATGCTTGCACTACAGCTTTGAGAGATTCAATATTGCTACCTGTAAAATTACATTTTCCTTACACATTTCAGCAGCAGGATCTCATCTGTGCTAGATGACAAGAAACTGTGGTGTGAAGCTATTGCCTCACAAACAAGAATGCTCAGATAAACAACTGTCTCTGACTGCTGGTGTCTCTGCAGCTGTCATGCATAGCATTTTACCTGGGGTTCCAGACAAAGCAGCTTGAGCTCCTGTCAGAGTCAAGAGGCCACCTTCTTTCAGATGTTTTGTGGCAAGGTGGCTGGAAATAGTTGATGTCCAAACACTCTGCTTCCACATCAGATCACAGTTTTTGTATAAAGCTGATCAGGAAGAGAATTAGTGAAATTAGCCAAAGGAAGACAACAAACTCTGATTTCCTCACTGTTACACAGAGTGCAACAGCACTATGAAAACATGCTTTCTGCCATTTTCTACCTCTACATTGTAAAATATTCATTTATATCTTTTGTATCTCCTTTCTCTTTGAGCCTGTAACAGTCAAACCAGAAGGGGGAAGGAAGGGACACATTTCACCAGATTTATTCCAGACAGAAAACAAGGCTATTTTTATTCTTGTATCTCCACAGCAGTGGGCAAAGTACAAATTTCATTATGAATGTTACATGTTTAAAAGCCTTTTTTCAATCAGAAGGGTTTCTTCTGTAGCACGATTAGGCAGTGCCTTCCAATATTGCATTGCACAGTAACAGCTCAGAGAGCTGCAGAAGCAACTGAGGTTTTACACATAAAGCAATGACTTAGGAAACAACATCAATGTGTCTTTCATACGTTACCTGACACAGGTAATCTCAGCAAAAATCAGCTCATAGATAACAATGCTGAGCTCCTTCAGAAAGCACATCAAAACTTTCAGATAAAAATAAGTGCAACAAACATTACTGAAGAAACAAAGTGCTGTGCAAATTTAACAGAAAGCAAAACTTCAGAGAAGCACTAAGAAGCTCCGTGACTAAGCTATTTTGTACTTCTACACTTTTGTCCTCTTATGGACTCAGGAAGAAAGATTTTTAAGGACTTCTCTCAGACACCATCCATGTTTTCACCATCATATCTGTACCAAAGGCTTACACTTGGCTTTGGCACTGCCTCCAGCCCATCCTCCTGCTACACACAGGATCGCATCCACCTTTTCTTCACCAAGAAGTTTCCCAACTTCTGCTGTCACCTTCAACACATAGAACAAAAACATACTGAAAACACTGGACTGATAAGGTAAAGAGGTAAACACCATGAATACCTTAAAGCTACTTTTTCCTACTTATGTATCTGAGTAACACAGGGCACAGCAATTTAACAGCTATAGAAAATCAGTATTTATGATTCGTGAACTCAAAACAACTGTGTATAAAAATAACTATAGATGAAAGTCAGAGGAATGAAAGCCACAGAGTGTGTGATGTCACTGGAAATAAGTGATCATCATCAGGGCCGAAACACCTGACCCTTACCTCTACTGCTAACAAAAATTATGACTGACTTGCTTTTGACAGGTTCTTTTCAGAGTATGGTGTCATTTAAGATAAGAAATGAAACTCCAGGTCTGACAAGGACTACTACTGTCACTTTTGATGACAGTGCAAGAAAAACAACTAAAGATTAGCCTCCTTTTTGCTTCTGTCTAGACCACAACCATCAGTTTGAGTCTGGCCACTAAATTTGAGCTTGTATACTTTAAGATATCTATAATTTGTTCTCTTTCAAACATAAGACCTCGCAGCTGGTAATGAATTTGTTGGCTACAAATTTTCTCTGTCAAAGCAAATAGCAAACAATCTATCTCTCAAGAAGTGAAGAAAAACCAAAAGTTTTTGCAAAACCATACTGAAAATTGTATTGTAAACATTCTATGTTACTCTTCCAAGCTTTAGGAGTTGTGTATATATAAAAAACCCATATTGGGTAGATATTCAGTATATCAGTAACAGAAATTGGCTTGAAACTTAAAATGTAAAATATGAATGCTATCTGTAGAGAATTAAGCAAAGCACTTTTTTAGGCTGGCTTATATTTTCCCACATTCCCGTTTGTGGAAACCAGTGCATTGCCCTAGGGGCTTATCATACCTTAATCCCTTGGGGTTTAGGTTCATACTCTTTGAGCATGCCATCTGCTTACACACAACCCATTTTTAAGTTAGGTATTTGAAATAAGCGTTTTAAGGTGTCCTTACCCACCTTCATTATAACTCACCTGGTTCAGTCTGTGACTTTTAAAAATCAAGACAAAAACAAAGCAAAACTGCCTTATGTGCTGAGCCTCCAATATCCCAGATCAAGCTCTTTCTGCATATTCAGTTAAAAGGAATTACAAAAAATTCAAAAGAAGGGATGAGCAGAAGCTGAAGGACCTTGAGATTCACGGTACGGTTGCTGCTCCCTGCGTGGAGCCGGACCCATCCCTGCAGCCACCTTGATACCGCGGGCGGCAGCGAAAGAGATGCGCACACCCGGGGAAGGCTGCGTGCATCGCCCGGCCGAAGGGATCCGCACACCCAGAGGAGGCTGCGTGCACCGTTTGGCGGAAGGGACGCGCACCACAGGGGGGGGCTGTGAGCATCACTCGGCCGAAGGGATGCGCACACCTGGGAAGGCTGCGTGCATCTCCCAGCTGAAGGGATGCGCACACCCTGGGGAGGTTGAGGGCATCGCCCGGCCGAAGGGATGCGGACACCCTGGGGAGGTTGAGGGCATCGCCCGGCCGAAGGGATGCGCACCCCCGGGGAAGGTTGGCTGCTGCACCGTTCCACCGCCTCAGCCGGCACTGGCCGCCCCGCGCCCGCCGCCGACCCACCTGTTCGGCCTGCTCGGGGAAGGAGTCGGTCGCTCTCACCACCACGTTGGCGCTGGCGTCCGCGTTCTCCGCCAGGTCGATGCTGGCCACCCACTGCGGCGGCGAGAGGAACAGCGCGTTAGCGGTCCACGGCCCGGCCCGGAAGGGCACGGTCACTCCCCCGCGGGGCTCCCCGCCTCGCCACCTCCCGGCCCGGCGCTTACCCAGTTCTTGGACTTGAAGTACCGCACGCACTGGGAGCCCAGCGCCCCTCTGCCGCCGTACACCAGCACCCTGCGTGCCGCCATGCCCGCTGCTCCGGCGCTGCTCTCACGGCGCGGATGGGCCGCCTCACGGGGCGGGCGAGGGGCGGCAGCGCCCGGCTGTGGGCGGGGCGAGGGACGGGGCGGGGCTGCCCGCCCGGGCCGTGCGGAGCCGGGGGAGGCGAGGGAGGGGAAATCCCAGTGCCTCGGCCCAGCCACGGCGCGGGCTTTGTCACTAGTCGCCAGGGCTCCTGCTGCTGTTAGTTAGTTAGTTAATTAATTAATTAATTAATTAGTGGCTCTGAAGGTCCTGCTAGGGCTCGGGTAGCAGTAACCGTAGAAGTGCGGACAATTACGGCCGGTTTTTTTTAGTGCTCATGGATCGCAGCTGTCGCTTGAGTTACCCCTCATGAGTGCCCCGATCTCCGGCACAGCTGGCCAGGCCCCCCGCCGCTGCCAGGGGCTTCGTGCGCCCCGCTGTAATTCAGGAGCTTCCAGACCCATCCTTTCTGTCCCTCAGATAACTCTGCCTGCAGTGACATTTACAGGCTGGGTGGGAGCAGGCGCCGGAAAGCTCAGCACGGCTCAGGCGACAGCAGAATCCTTCAGACAAATTATACTGTTTTGATCCTTTTTCCCTTGCACACAGATATTTACCCACTTTTTAAAATAATCCAATAAACTGGATTCTTCTCCAAATTTTCTTCACATGAGGTTGCAGTAAGAAACTTGATGTCATTTGAGCAGGACAATTAAACCCCTGAGGAAATATTAGACAGGCCACAGAGATAGGATTACTTGCTACAAAGAAGCATCACCGCACTACAATGTAATGAAGCCCTTACTTGCAACCATTTCGGGATGTTGTTGCAGCAAAATGTATTTTTTTTTTGCCTTGATTTTTAACCATACAGGTTAATTGCTGGACCTCCAAAATACAAAGAGAAGTATCTTGAAATGCCTGGTATTCAGCTGTGGATTTTGGAGCATGATGAAAAATGGGAAATCCATCTGACTGCTGCAGAGAGGGCTTGGAGATGATCCCTTGAAAGCACTAGGATGCCTGGCTGCTTTAAAAAGACATTATTTGCCTTGGCTTCCCTAATAAGTTTTGTGTCTTTTATCTTGATTGTTGTTGCAATGGGGATCCCAAAGTGGATGACTGGAAAGATCCTTTGCAAAACAGGGGCTGAGTTGGTCAATGCCACAGATCCAGAGCTGGTCAAGTTCATTGGAGAAATTTACTACGGTCTCTTTCGGGGCGGCAAAATACGCCAATGTGGCTTGGGCGGGCGGCGTTCCAAATTCACAAGTAAGTACAATTTTGGTTGAATATTTAGTCTAATATCTAGTCCAAATTTAACATTCGATTATTTTTGTTTACAGAACTTGTAGAATGCAAATTTGTATTATTAAATAAATATGTAGTCTTTATGGTTTGACGTTTGGAGTGTGAATATAAAATTTCTATCATTTCATTAATACTTTCTGCTATAGTTATATTCTGTAATCCTGCAATCAAGCTGGGGAAAAAAAATCCCTAGGGCTAGATGGAGAGTTTCCTTTTAGCCTTGTGAAGGGGTGAAATTCATTTGGAGATGACCCTGTAAATCATACATTCCCCTTGACTGGCTTTTTCCTATGTCACGTTTTGCTCTGCCACCCCTCTGCCTCTGTCCTTGTCTTCTCTGTTGAACTCCTCTGAGGATTTTTCCCTTTAAGAAGCTGAGATTTATTTAGTTGGACACATTTCTGTATTTCTCTGGCTGACCTAATGCAAATATCTACCATAGCACATATCACTAACTTTATTAACATGTTGAAGAAATTCTTACCTTCTTTTCCATTAAGTTGGGAGACAAAAAAAATGCTGAACTTTTAGCAAATATAGAAACTCTTCTAAACTTATTCCTTCTAACATAAAAGATTTTCTTGAGGTCTTGAAAGCTCTGAGCTGTACTCTGGACGATTTCCAAATTTCATTTATCCTGTTCTGTAGTGAAAATGGTAGTTTGCATTGAAGATTTTTATTTCAGTGTACAGATTTACTGAAACTTAAACCAATACAAGTTGAAGCTGTTGCAGTCTCACCATCTCCCTGGCCCACAGCAATGGCTCCTGTCCTGTCCCATCCTTTGCAATGGCTCTGGTAGCTGAGGTGAGGTATTTCAGAAGTTAAACTGGCCAAAAATTTAGCCTACAAAAATAAATACTTGTTTTCCCATAGGATCGTGTCTGACTACACAACTACACAAGCACTTCTATAAAAATTGAAGGCAGGTGTGACTGTGGGACTTCAGAGGGAATGTAGAAAAGAACCAGAGCAACCTCAACTTAGATCAGCATGACCAGTTGTTAAACGGGATGAATTTGGACTGGTAACCAAATTATTGCTCAAGCCCTGACTGCAACTACAACTTCATGACATGGACATAGCAGTCATGCTCATCCAGCCCCAGTTCTTTCACTCCATCCTGGCAGAGAGAATGAGAAAAACTCTGTACAACTTTTTGGACTATTTAATGAACTTTCTGATTTTTTACTGTGCAACCTGAGAGGGAGGCATAATGTTCCACAGTCACTCTGGAGTACATCGATATGCAATTGGAAGATGTGAGCTGGCACTCCTTAGACAAACAGAGCTCTCACTGAAGCTAGTAATAATTCTTTGGTAGAACTGTAAAATATTAAGTGCAGTAGGCACAAATATGCATTTTGGTCAACAAGTGTTCTGGAGATTTTCCCTTTTAAATATTTCAATAACTCTACTGAGTTTGATATTTTGACAATACTGGTTTCAAACAACAATACACAAAGCTGATACTTTAGCACAATGGTAAGCAGGACTGGGGGTTCTGGGTTTGACTTGACTTTTTTTTGGTTTGAATGTCCCCCTTCATCTCCAAGCATTCTGAATTTACTGGGGTGCAAGAACAGTAAGACTTTTCATGAGGAATGGGATAATATAAATGGACTTTACTGGCACCATAGACAAAGCTAACACATCATATGGTGCAGTATTGCAGTACCTCTGATACTTCAGAATTTCAAATTGAAAAAATTTACTGTTATTGGTACATCCCCTTTCACTCTGTTAACATCCACTAGAGTAGATTTATGGCTGGAACACTCTCTTTTAGCTGGGACAGTGACTCTGTTGCCATTACAGGTGTCTACTGCTCTTTTGTACTCCTCAAGATGTATCATCTGGCCTCCAGCTGCAGCTTCTGGAAATGTCCCATCCTAAGTGTAGCATGTATGTTAGACCACAGGCTTGTTATGATGGTCCTAAAGCACCTAAGCTGGCATAAGATGCTTCTGTTTTGACAATTGAGTCAAGCCCTGGAACAAGCTGGGGAAGCCACGTGTTTTGCCTGTGCAGAGCAAACACTGCTGGATTTTGTCTGGAGTCTCCAAGGCAATATCCTTCTCATGGATTCTTATTTCTGTGTACTAAGCCAGATTCACTGAGCAGGTCGTTGAGATTTGGCTGCATGACTCAGAAAAGAGACCAAATAATCCTTAAAACTACCCTAAAATCTCTGATGGTTTGTAAGGAGCCTTAATTCCATGTGCTTCGTTGTTACACTGCCAGTTATTTTCCAGTCAGAAAGCAACCTAGGTTTTGGATTCCCATTTCTCATACGTACTTCTGATCCTCATTACTCCCCTCATTTCTTGTTGACAGAGTCTTCTGCAGCTCTTCTGTGCACCAAGCCCAAATACAACCCCAGAATGAGCTACTGAAAGGGTAGATCTGTCGAATCACATCATTTTTTATGTGGGATTTGTACAGTATGATTTTTTTCTACAGGATCTACTATAATTCTGTCCTGTCATGATCAAATTATATGCTTGAAGTTCATAGTGACATCTACCAACTATTGCTGCCTACTGTTTAGGTGGCTTGTTTGAACTTCAGGGCTTTTGTCAGTTTTGCAGCACAGGTAGGAATTTATTTATTTGTTTATAACATAGTATACCTTCTTTGTAGTAACTTTTTAGTATTGGGCAGTGAGTTTTTCAGAACATGGATGAGTGTGCAGTGCTATGCTAGCTGGAGGTCTCCTCTTGATCACCTTGTATTTTAGGGTTCCTCTCAATCAGCTTCTCTCTTTCTTGTCAGTCAACATCACCTACAATTCCCTACTCACATTTCTTCTGATTCTGCTACTAGAGGGCTGCAGGATAAACTAAACACTCAGGTGTACATTTCCTGCTGCTCCTGCCAATCTGGCCCTCCAACAAAGGAGCTGTGTCTGTGAAGACAGAACCAAGAAAATTACTGTTCTCAAGAGACAAGTGAGTGTCAGTCTGCTGAGGGAGAGCTTGTGCCTATAGCAAACCATGGGAGTGTTTCACCTAAAGCCCTGACTGCAATAGTTTACAAGCTTCCTACATCTGTGGGCTAAAACACTGCCAGATGCCTAGAAAAGCACAAAAGGGCCATAAATACTAGATGAGAAACCAAGAAGGGAATCTTAAAGGGCAAACCTGTGGGATTAGGACATATGAAATCAGGGCAGATCTCACTGGAGCCAGCAGTAAAGAGAGGATTAGAAAAAAAAAGAAGAACATGAGAAAATAAACACAGAAAAAGGTGATACTATTTTAGGCAGCTAGGGAACAAGGAAACTGAGACTATCAGACTTCAAATGGATGAGATAAAAAGCATGAGACAGGAATGAGAAGCCCAAAACCAGGAGTTTGGTATTGAGAAGAGAGGTGAAAAAGAGACAGGAAAGTATGCAGCAGACAATACAGCACAGAGATAAAGACATTAACACTGCTAGATAAATAAGCAGGACTTCAGCCTGAATCCTTTTTCACAGATCCTGTTTAGAGGATTATTCCTGTAGCAGAATATCCCTGGTTTGATGCACTGAAAAATAAAGCATCAGGAACTGAGATGTATGCAACTAGCTGAATACCACATCTCCATAAAAAAACAGTCTTTCTTAAATATAAGTTGAATTTGAAGCACCAGTACAGTGTGATATTTACCATCATCAAGAAAACCAATACACTGAATAGACGATTTATTTTTTCTTGACAGTTTTCCCA